AAACAATTTATAATAAGATTTAATCAATTTCATATTTGAAAATTGGAAAGTGTTAAAGTCGCGTTAAATTTCAATTTACTTTCAGTTTAATTCTACCATATATTTTTCTCATTATATTTAATATTCATACTTTTAAACATAATTACAACAATACAAATACTTAATCCAAGAAGAAAGAAAAGTAGTAACTAAGAGAAAATCGGTTGTGTATTCATTGCCTGAAATACAATTAATGTGCTAATATGTTCCTTCCGAATTACCGCACTTTCCGTACGCGCGCGTTCGTCATTATCGACTCAACGTCGGTAAATTCACTACTCTACTATGACCCACCGATTCATTGCTGTTGACTGTACATACATACATACATGTCTAAAAACCATTGATAAATTAATAAATCATAAAATTAATGTTATATTATTGACTAATTGCTTAAATTTTAGCAATTACTAAACATGCCACGCTAAGTCCCGTAAGGGTGTCGGTCTTTAAGAGTATCTCATCGGTGTATCTATATAGTTGCATCCTCGATACTGTATCAACTAAGATGTTTCTTTCTTTAGAAAACGACGGCACTCGCCACGGTGCGGCGCTCGCGACGGTACGTCCGGCACTTCCGGCCGCAAAAGAGAATATGGCACGGCGACGACGATGATGTCGATGTCGGGTCGGTCTGGTCGCGAGTTCACGTAGATATTTCGTCGGCACTCACGATCGCGTATCCGCGGGTCTTTCCTACCGTGGCATGCGTGTTTGACGTGCGTTCACTCGCAACGCCGAGGGATCGTGATCGGCGACGGGGGCGACCTAATTATGAGCGGCGACGTGTTACCCTCCTGACGCTTCGCGCGACGCCAAACAGAAGGTACGTAAGAATCGCGGAATCGAACAGAATCCGGGCCGCGTCCTTCCATTCCCTTTTTGCGCGCGTCCCCGGCGACGGCGACGGTGACGCCACATCGCCGTCTATCCCGTTCCCCCGATTCCCCGTCGGAGAAACGCGCGCACTCGCGTTTCCCTCACGTGCGTGCCCCGCATGGATTACGTCACTTGCTACGTGTTCGGCTACGGGCGCTACGGCCAAGTCGATGTACGTCCGTTCCGGATAAACGAACGGTTTTACATTACCACGTATTTCCGATTCGCCAGAATTTCGCAGCCTATGTGGATTGCAATTTTGTCTTAAATTACTTGTGTTTACGTATATTTTGCAATATCATCAGTTTTGTTGATATTGCTCCTGCGACTCGCAATGACAAGCTGAAGATTTACAATTTTATATAAGTTTGTTTATGTTAAATCACTTTATCTTCTTTATGTTTATCCATTTTTTGCCCTTGATGTATGTATCATAGAAATTATTTATGCCTCTAGGAAATTTGAAGACACAGATACATATCTTAAAACAACCCAATCATTTAACTTCTTTTTTTATTTGTTTTTTTTTATATAAAAGTGATCATATTCGATTATTTTATTGTTGATTATATGAAAGTAACTTAATATACACTTATTTATTATATGTTCTAAAGAAAGTAATAATACGATCCAAAGTAAACAATTTGAAATAGTAATACAAAGTATGGAAATGCATAGTAAATATAATATTCTATTGTTTTTGTGTGAATTAACATTAAGGAGATGATTAAATCTTTATATTAATTTTATATTCTTTGTAATTGTAAATAACATATGTTGTATATAACAATCTTGCGTAAAGATGCTATTTTTTTAAAATATAGATATTTTTTGTATAGCACGTGTGTATCCAGTATTATTATATTTTAATGGCTTTCTTTTTTATTTAATGAAAATAAAAGATGAGTATCTTTTCTCTGCTCTTCTATTGGTATATAATAAAATAGGTATTTGTAATATTTCCTAAGTTTTTATATGATGTTTTCTAAGAAAAAATGTAAAAATTTGCTTTCAAGGTTTAACAATTGTTTACTTATTATACATATATTGCAGATACAACAGAAAAATATTAAAACCATTTTTTTTTAAATTTATTACATGATATTCTAATTTTATTTTCTAAAAAAAGTATATATATAATCTGTAAATAAGATCTAAATTGAAATTCTGAACTCGTAAGACTGTATTCATTATATTATATCCAAGAAATAGATATCTTTTTATCGAGAATATGGATATAGTTGTAATAAAGATTTTAATTTTTTTAAAAAAGTTTTGATTATTTATTTATGAGTTTTATTTTGTATTTTTATATGTTAGGCCTGTTTAGTGAATATTTTCTTCATATTTTCTTGTGATCAATATTAAAAGGGTAATAAAAATCATAAGAAACTGAAAAACTAACTTTAATTTTTCAAAATATTGAGATCAAGAATTAATATTGATTATAATGGACAAGAAAATAAAAAGGGGAATGGTTCTATGACATCCTACATATAATTAATCAATTAGTAAAATGATATAATATTAATATGTAATACTTACATTTTTTTCTGTATAATGTTATTATTGTTGATACTTTTAACGAGATAAAGAATGGAAAAAAGATACATGGTGTTGCCTGGCACTGAGTATCGTGTAGAAATGAGGAGGAATGTGAAGTCTGATCTCGTGTCGAGACTTAATACAATTAGATTTACTCCAGTCTAGATCCTATCCAATTAGATTTGGAAAATGGGAGCAGTGGGTGATACTCTATTTTGTCATATTAGAAAAACTTTCACTACTAACTTGATTTTACCAGCTATCCCTTAGCAGAGTGTATCGCCAGTTAGGCTGGAAAACAGATAATGCAGTGGTTTGTATTACTTCTATTTGTACAGTGCATAATGTGGAGTGCGTCTGAGGAATCATCAGGCACGATGGAAGGCGGCCCTCCTGATGCTGTGGTACACACAAAGGAGACATGCGAGCAGAATAAAAATCAATTAGAAACCCTCAAGGAAATCATGATGAGGAATCAACAGAGTTTGAAAAGGAAGGAGGAGGAGGTCCAGGTAACATAAAAATGATTAAAGCAATTAAACACTTCAGAAGCTTCTTTTATTCTTTGAAATCTAAATTTGTATGTCATATGGATGTTAACTAAGAGACTTGTTTGCTTTAATATTTTTTACTTTAATATCTTTGAATTACAAGTGAATAAAAATTGAGAAGTTAGAAAATTTTAAGAATGTAAATAAATGATATTTAACAGAAATTAAATTTGAGATCTAATTGTTAAAATATTTAATTCAAAGATATCTCAAGATAAAATATATCTTAAAGTATCTATATAATGTCACTTTGTTTAATATTAGGAAAGTTATTATAGGAAAGAAAAGTTATGAGGTTATACAATCCTTAGCGTTTTGTATCATTGTTAAAATAATATTGTATTATATTGATTCTTTTTTGTTTGTGTAGGAATATGCACAAAGATTATCAAAGATTAAATCCAGAACGAAGTTATCACGTCGTAGTAAAGAAGGAGCTTCATCATCCAAAGACACAGTGCATTCACATAAGACTGAATCTGCAGCAAAGGCATCTGTAACAGATGATACAATTGATGACATTAGTCAAGCAAAAACCCCAAAGGCAAAGTCTTCTTTACTTCAACGAAAATTGGCGGAAAACAGGAAAGTTTTCGAGCAACGTAGCAAAGAATTGACCGAAACGAAACGAGCAGTAGAAGAGAAAGTGGAAGCTATCAGGCAACAATTGGATGAAACGGATTTAGCAGCAGCAGAACACAAGGATCAACTAGCTATTACACCAATTAGGCCTCTTGTCATCACTTCGGATGTGAATAGTTTTACATCAGTTTTCCTAACATATTTTCTATAATATCCTTTAATGAATGTAATAAAAGAAAGAATTGCTTACATGCAGATAGTAATTTAGAATTTGACAATAGCACGATAGAAAATTTATGTTCTGATTTTTTAATTTAAGGTGATGGCGCCAGTTCAAATACAAAACATTCAAGAAAAGGAAAAAAAGATTATGGAACTAAATAGCAAAATCGTCGAGCTAGAAGCTACCATTCTGGATCTTCGAGAAAATTTAAAAGAGAAGGATTCTGTTATTGATTCCAAAACGAAAGCGGTTACTCTTATGTCCGCAGATTTTTCCAAGAAGGGTAAAACGACGTTAGATACTCTCGAAGATACGAAAGACGAAATGCGAACGATGCAAGAAAATTTTATCTTGATCGAAACGTCTCTGAAAAACAAAAATACCAGTTTGTTGGGACAACTAGAGGAAAGAAATAACAGGATATCAGAATTGGAGCATACAGTTAATAGGTAATTATATATATATTTTTATAATATATTATACATTTTTGTTATAAAATTAACAATAAGTAACATTTATTTTGAATTGAATAAAAAATTTTGATATTTGAAGTAGTGAATAACAAAATATTTTATATTAAAAATCGCAAAGAGAATAATTTAACTTTTATTTTTTATTATTTATTCTTTATATACTCTTTGAAGGATTGAAGAGCAACTCAAAGAACGTAAAATAGCCGAATCTGCAAGTGCGGATTTCTCACGTTCCACTATGGATACTTTAGCGGAGACTAAAGACGTGATGAAATCAATGCAGGAAAATTTTGTTCTCGTTGAATCATCATTGAAATTGAAGAACGACAATCTTCTTCAGCAATTGGGGCAGTATGAAATAAAATTAGCGGAAGCCAAAGAAAGGATATTTCAATTAGAATCTGGTGCCGGTATAGTGACAACGCCAGCAGTTGAGGATTTACAGTTTAGGATAGAGAAATTGGAGCAGAATAATCGACAACTTCTGGATGAGAAATATGAATTGCAGAAAAATAATACCGAATTGCAGGATAAGATTATTGCCAGTAAATTAGTTGACGGTAATGATGCAATTGTCGAGAAAGACAACAGAATTGCAGAACTCGAGAATTTGATAGAAGAACTTAAACAATCAAATAAATTGCTTGAAGAAGAGTCGAAGACTGAGTTGCAAAAACAATTAGCTGAATTGTCATCCAAAAACGAAGAGCATTCCAACAAAATTACCGATCTTGAGAAGCAAATGCATGAACTCGAAGCGGAGAAGAACGATATCGCAGCGAGATTGTCAGCTGAACAAGCGGTATCCAAAGAAGATATGGTAATAAAATTGACAAAGGAATTGGAAGATTTAAATAAAAGTATGATCAAATTAAAGGCCCAACACAGAAGCAAAGTGAAAAATTTACAGAAACAATTGGAAAACTTCAAAATGGTAAGAGTTTATTTCAGTTTTAGTTTTAGATTTTAATGTTCAAAATTGTAGATTATAATTATAGATTAAAGAAATATAATATAAATGCTTTTTTTTGCTTTATATTTTACGGAATAGCTTTTAGTTGACTATTTAATTGAAAACGCAATTGATTAATATTACTTGTATCGAATATTAATCAACACATGACATATATGTCCGCGAATTTCCGTGTCCATGAAAAAAATAGTAATATGTGTGTTTTATTAGGTGTCCGATACGAATGCAGAACTCGTTAGATTGGGCAATCAAGTGGCATTATTGGAGGAGGAGAAAGGTAACCTTCAGCTGAGTCTGGTAGACTTTGACGAGCTTAAAGGTAGGAACCAGGACAAACGTTTTATCGCCGACGTTTCCGTTGTCCTAGTTATATTGTCGGATTTTTAATGCGATCTGTGTTAATATTTTTTTATCGGAACAGCCTGTTTTCCAGCCCTGTTTCCTCTATGAATGAAAAGTATTTGTCCTAATCGTTATATGTATATATTTTTTTTATAAGAAATAAAACAAAGATGTAGATACTACAATATATAAGTACACTGTAGTAATAATTGATGTCAATTTCACAAATGTAGAGTACAGTTACTGAAATGTCACTTAATTGCGCGATTTTTTAGTGTACTTAAAAAAAGGAAAAAAAGTGGAAAACAATACCTCTTAATATTTTCTGGTGATGGAATCTTTTCACTTATTTTATATGCTTCAATTATCGAAACATTTACGAAGAATACTAATCAATGATATCTGAATATTTCTTGATAATTGAATATAACATGGTACCTACTTTACTTGTCAAAGTTTGCTGCGCACTTATTCATAGAAGTAGATTTATTCTTAGTACTTATATCCCACATACGTTTTCTTATTTTATACGGAATAAATGATTAATTGCATGACTTATATTTTAATATAATTTTAATATAATAACAATATTTTGAATTTTTTACGACACTCATTGGCTAATGCTATTATTATGTGCTTTTATTAAAATGAATCATTATTGAAACAAAACACTTTGACATATGAATTTTTAATAAGTATGTATGATTTAATTGGTGTGTCTAATGCTAATAATTAAATATAACAAATTAAATTGAATGAAATTTATAACTCTTGGCTTTCTATAATATTCAATGCTTTAAATGAATAGAGACAGAGAAGAACATTTTATTCTAAATATATAATAAAAGTGTTCCAAAATCAATGTACACTATCAGTAGATTTATGCTTTTATTTAAAAATATAAAGAGACATCATCTTGCAACAAGATATTGATATATTGATTGTATATGATTTAATATTGTTATGTACTGTGTAACAAATATATTACGTAATCTTTATATTATTATTTTATATGGTATTTCTAAAAATAATCCAAGAAAACAAGGACATCTCAATAATGTCTTAATGACGTCTTTATTGAAATGATATTACCTTGCTACTTGAGAATGTGGTGCTAATATTAATGAGTAAATTATTATATAAATTACTTTAGAAGTAAGAATCTGTTGATAGTTTGTATACGATATTTTGGAACAAATAATGTATATAAATATTGATTGCACAAAAAGGAATTTTGTGAGAAAATTTACTGTAATTTAAGCTTAGCACTTAGTAACTGCTTGCACTAAGCTTACTATGAGCGAAAATGAAATTGCACGTACGTTATGGGCAAATTATACGATCTGCACAGCCTCAGCAGGAGATTGGCAGGAACGTGTTGCTGACTTGGAAAGTAAGGTTTCATCTCAGACAAAAGAAATACAGATGCATATTGATGCAATCGCCATCTTAGAGAACCAAAAGTTAGATCTTACACAAGGTAATTTATTACATGAAATAGTCTATGCAGAATAAGATGTGTTTGCATGTTGATGGTTTAAATCATTTTTTAAATATAAAATTGTGTTATATATTCTAATAGAATTATAAATTACAAGTTATTCTGCTTTTCTTTGATGGAATAATATTAATATTACTATGTGTAACAGTGTTAATAATTGTACTTCTAATTCTACATTCATACATATATATTATGAGAGATGTTATTGAACATTGATAATCAGCATGTTTATAATTCGATGGAACGAGTTTGTAAAAAATTTGAATATTCTTTTTCAGAACTTCACACGGTAAAGCAGGAAGTTTTGGCTCTGGAAGCTGAGAACGCAGAATCCGAGAATCTCAGAGTAACGGCCGAGATGAAGGTTGTTGAGTTAGAAGAACAATTGGAAACAGCACACAAAGAACAGAGTGAGAATAAACTTGAAATTGAACACCACGAGCTCCTAAAGAAACTTGACGCTTTGACGCAGGAAAATTCAGAATTATACAACAAGTTAAACAAAATGGAGGAGAAAGGTACTTCGGATACTGGTTCGACGGAATCTTTCGAAGCTATTCAAATGAACGATAGAAATGATCTGTTGAAAAAAATTGAGGATTTGGAGCAAAAGAATAATGAATTAATGCTTAAATTATCGAAGTTGGAAGAAAAGGATGGTTCACATGCCGGTTCCACGGAATCTTTCGAAACGATAAATGATACAGATCGCAGCGAGTTAATAAAGAAGATTGAACAATTAACGCAGGAGAACAGCGATTTAACCATGAAGTTGAGTAGGATCGAAGAGAAGGGATCGTCTGACACGGGTTCTACGGAATCTTTTGAGCGTATCCCGGAACACAATGATAGCCCGACGAAGATCGAACTACTTACTCAAGAGAATAACGAGCTTGTTATCAAATTAACAAAGCTGGAAGAGCGATTGAGTCAAAGCAGCGCTCAATTGGACATCTCTAAGATCGATCATAGTTTAGAGACACTTAAAGATGATAGTAGCTTGTTGAGATTGCAGATTGAGACGCTCACTCAAGAAAATGATAATTTGTTGGGAGAGATTTCTCAACTTAAATCGCAGATAGAGGATTTCACGGAGGAAACTAACAGGCTACAAGATCGTATAGAAATGTTGACAGCGGAGAACACCGAGTTAGTTATAAATCGCACGAAATTGGAGGAACGTCTTCAAATGGAGTCGTCTCATTCCTCTCAAATGTCAATCCAAGTGATAGAATCTGCTGACCAAATTAATGCCTTAATAGAGAGGCAGCAGGTTCTTGAAAGAGAGCTGACTCAATTGCGGAAAACATCCGTTGAACACTCGGTTAATGTAACATCATGCGAAACTGATGATGCAAAATCCAAACTCGCGACATTGGAGAAAGATAATGCACAGATGACAACGACAATCGCACAGCTCGAAGAGCATATCAACAGTCAAACAGAAAACCTAATTAAAATAACCAAAGAGAAAGAACAACTGGATCTACAGCTGCAACACGTAACTTGCGATGATTTCTCCAGAGAAAGGTTGGAGCTTATCGACAAATTGGAAAAATTGAATCAGGAAAAGGAGAATGTCGCCCATGAGAGACAGGAATTGCAGGAGCAAATTAGCGTTCTCTTACAGAAATCGTCCGACGAAATTTCGGAGATGCGAAAGACGGAGGAAGTTGTTTGTCAGGAATCGCAAACTGCAATTGTAGCATCCTTAGAGAAGGATTTGGAGAACAGCAAGAGATTAATTGTGGAGTATAAAAATCAGGTAGAAGAAATGAACATGAAACTGGAGAGCATGGATGCTGAATTGCAGAAGAAAACCGAACAATTACTAGAGTATGAAGCATCGGAGCATGCAAAATTGGAGAATTTAGAACGTGAATTGAAGGACATGTTTGTTACAGCAGAAGAATGGAAATTCAAGTATGATGACATGCAAGAAAAGATGCAGACGCTGGAGCAAGGGAAAGCGTCGATGGAGGAAGCTTTTAAGACATTGGAGAATGGTAACAAAGAATTGTTAGATGTGATAAAAGAAAAAGATGTGACGACTGGTACTCTACAAGAGCATTTCCAAGGCATCATAGATTCCCTCGAAACGAGATTACAAGATGAAATGGCGAATATAATGGCGAAAGAACATGAAGTTGCAGATTTGAAGGCTGAGATCGAAAAGAAAGATCAAGAGCTACATACTAAGTATGCGCAGTTGCAAAATGGAATGATTACTATAGACAGTTTACAAGATGAATTAAGTAACTATTCGATCAAGTTGAAAGAAAACGAGGCTGCTTTATCGTCATCGTTAGGAGAGGTTGCGAATCTCAATGCTATAATAAAAGAGAAAGAAGAGGAAGCTTATACTCTGAAAGATAATATTAGCAAAATTACTGAAATGTTAGAACAATTTAAGTCTGTAGCTGAATTTGAGGAAGTATTGTCGAATTTGCGAAATAAAGAAGCAAGTTACACTGAATTGCAGAATAAATATGAAGAAGCCTTAAAAGAAAACAGTGAATTATCGCAAAAAATTGAGGATACGTCAAAGAGTAACGAAAATATTGAAAATGAATTAATTAAGAAAAACCAGGAAATTGATAGTTTACTCGCGATTAAAAAGGATTTGGCCGCACAAATTGAAGAAATCAAGACCGATAAGACTGAAGCTGAAAAGCGAATTTGGGAACTGCAAGCGATTTTAGACAATCAAACTACGTATGCTGAGAAAGTGCAATCGGAACTGACAAACGAGTACAAGCAAATGGAAGGACTTAAAACTAAACACATGGAGGATATAGCAATGCTTAATCGAAGATTGGAAGACGTTATCGAAGAATTAGTTGAGAAAACACAAGAAAACGAAGCTATGAAAGCCGAATTAGAGCAGAAGGAGTTGCTCGGTAAAAACGTCACAGACGAAACGAAGACCATCTTGGAGAACAAAATCGTAGACTTGGAACAGAAACTTTTAGAATCAGAAAGTAAGCTGCAGGCGCAATCCGAAAAGATGAAGAAGATTGTGGCGACGTTTAACAAAAAGAAGATAGCATGTCAAGAACTTGAAGCACGTGTCGCTGAATTGGAAGAGAAATGGACGACGGAGAAAGATGAGAAGGAAGTTAAAAACAAGCAGATACAAGAAGTAGAGATTTCCATGCGGGAAAAGGACAACAAGATCCATGACTTGGAGGAGAAGTTGCTGCAAGCGAAGAATGATACCGCGGAGGTTCTTACAAATTCAGAAAAATTTGAGAAGGAATCGATCAGTTTGAAAGAAAAGATTGCGATGTTAATGGAGCACGTTGCGGAGATGGACGAGGAAATCGAGAAGCAGCGCGCAGAGATAGAACGCATTTTTCTCCAAGTGGAAACGGAGAGAACGACGAAGGAGGAGATTGCCAAAGAATATGAACTCTACAAACAAACTGCGAGCAAGGAGGACGAACAGAAACAGACAGTTCTGGATGAGGTGAAGGAGCAGGCACGAGAGTTGAGTGTGCGCATGCAAGTAATGGAAACCGAATATGTGGAACAGCTCGCTACAATAAAGAATCTAAAGGCGGAGAATGGCCTTCTGTTGTCCAAACAAACGCAGATTGACGAGAAATTAGAAAACGCTGAGAAGAAATCAGAAGAGCGTCGTGTGCTGATCGAGCAGTTACAGAAAGAGATTGCGACTATGGCGTCTGTGGCAGTAACTACACAGGTTCCGGAGCAGAGCGAACTGAGAGAAGATGACACTGTGATCGCGCAGCACTGTGATCACTCCGAGCAATGTCAGAATTTAGTACAAGCGTTAGAAGCGCGTCTACAAGAGCGCCAAGCGGAAATTGAAAACTTGAATAACGAGTTGGCCAATTCGTACGGTAATATCGTGTTACTTCATGATGAATCTCAGAGGTATAACGATATGATGATACAAACTGCTCAGGAGCGCTTCAATCGGTCGCTTATGGATCAAACGAATACATTGCAACAGGAAATCGATTCTTTGAAAACGGAGAAAGTTGTGAGCGAGCGGAGAGTATCGGAGTTGGAGGCTGAGTTGGAAGGATATAAATATAAGAATGCGGAATGCAAAGTAGAAATCCCTGAAGAAGTTGAAATTTCTGTCACCGAAAATCAGCAACAGCAGGAGCAAGATGGTACTTCACAATTGTTCGACTCTGCGAAACTCTTTGAAGCCGTCACTTCGGATACGGACACTTTGGATAAAAAGGAAATGGAACAATTGCAGAGTTTATTAAACGAGAAACAGAGTCAGTGTTCCGAGCATATGAAAGAAATGGATCGCTTACTCAATAATGTAGAAGAAGAGAGATTACGTGTTCGAGAATTACAGGATCAATTTGAAAATTCGCAAAGCGAATTGAGAAAGATAGAAAACCTTCTTTCTGAAAAGAATGTGCAGGTGGATTCATTGAATACGGAATTGGATAATGTAATCCGTCAGATGAATGATCTGAAAATGTTGCAGGAACAATATTATACTGCTGAAGCAGAGTCGCAGAGATTACAGCAAATTGTGACTGACAAAAGCACGCAGATAGATTTATTGAATACCGTAAATCAACAAATGAGTTCGCAATTGCAGCAACATACGGAAGCAGAAGCCGGTTTACGAACCGAACTTTTGCTTAAGGATACAGAAATTACTGCGATAAAGACAGAGCTAACTTCTATGGAAGAGATTGTAAAAGAATTGACAATGGAACGAGATCAGCAAGTCGAATCATATAAACTTCAGATTAATAATCTGGAAACAGAAATGAGGAGCGCTAGTAGTGACAGTGATTTAATACAAGAGTGGGAACAGCGTATTTCTACGACCACTGCAGAGAGAGACTTGCTACAGCTGCAAGTAAATGATTTGACGCATTCCTTGGAAGAACTGAAGGAATCAGTACTGCGTAATCTACAGATTGAGTTGGAGAATGTTATGCGAGAAAGGAATGAGGCTCAAGTACTTATTGCAACTCTCACGCAAGCTTTGGACGATTCGAAACAGAGTCTTCAGGAATCGAAGACACACGAAGACAGCTTGAAGGAGCTTACTTCTACGGAAAAATCGATCAGCCAAGAATTAGAATCAGTTCCTATTCTGGCTGTCGAAGAACCGATTAGTCAACAAGAATGTGTACAATTAGCCCAAGCTCCTATCGAAAAAGAAATACAAGACATTCAGTTGGATGTTGGTTTGGGCTGGGACAACGGTTCTGAGAACCTCAATGTCGATGAGGAATCTTGGGGTTGGAGTGCGGAAAACGTTCAATCGGCTGTCGGTAGTCAGCATCTGAGCACGATGACATTGAGCGCCGAAATGCAATTGCGTGCAAAAGTAGAAGATTTGGAAAATAAAATCGCAGATTTAGAAGCACAGAACGTTAGGATCGCCGAGGAGAGCAAAGCGGCACAAGTAAAAAGCGGTAAATTGGTAAAGAAATTGAAAGAGTATAAAGTACAGATAGAGGGCTTGCAACAACAATTAAAGACGCAGAAGCAGACTGATAGCTTTTTTGACTTGGATACGGCAATTGAAGAGGAGCTGAAAGCACAAATCGCCAGTTTGGAAAGAGCTCTTAATGAAATTAAGGAAGAAAAGAAAAATATTATTGCTGAGAAAGAAGCTTTACTGAAACGGCTTGATGTAGTAGTGTCGGCTAACGAGAGGTATATGGAAATGAAAGAGAGACAGGATATGGAAGTTGAGGTATTGCGCATTCAGAATAAGGAACTGAGTAACAAAGTACAATCTTTAGAATGGCGATTACAGGAAAATGTGACTGATATAGAAGATACTACTTCTTCGCCACACGAAGATCAACGTGACCCATCATCTTATGAAATTGATAAATCTATCGCACATAGTCAGCCCCAGAAGAGATCAGCGGAATCTAGTGATGACATCGACGTGATATCGAAGAAGTACAAGGAGGAAATAGACGATTTGAAGGACGAGTTAGAAGCGCTCGCAGCAGAAAACGAGCAACTGCAGCACTTTTTAGAAGAACAAAAAGCAGCGATGGCGAATTTGGAACCAAAAGATAATAATATCGATGAGCTTATGAAAAATTTAGACGCTTTGAACAGTCAAAATGCGCAGCTTCAAACCGCTTTAAACAAAAGCAAGGAAGAATATGAGATTCTCAGGAAACAGTATGAGCAAAGTCTGATAGACGCGAATGATCAAGTGACAGCAACGCGCCAGAACAATGATCTCCTCAAGATTGAATGTGCAGAAAAGGTAAATAGATTAGAAACGGAGATAGAACATTTAAGAGAGCTTTGGAAGAGAAGAAAGTTTTAGAGGACAGCGCTTTGATAAGTTCGGAAGAAAAGCTTTCGTCCGTCAATACGTCCCTAATGGAAGTTACGGAATTACTTAATGCCAGAGTCCAAGAAGTCGCTGATCTGAAGCAAGAGCTTCAAGTTCAGTATGTGGAAAGACAGCAGGCTGAAGCGACGCTACAATTGGAAATACAAAACTTGATTAAGGAACTGGACGAGAGGAGACAGGATCTAGGAACCTTGAAGCAAGCGTTCAGCGACAAGGAGCATGAGCTGATACAGCAGAGGAGTGTGCACACGGTAAATACTATCGTTAGTGAGGCTACTCAGGAATTGGCCCAAAAGCACGCGATTGAAATCGAAGAAAAGAATAAGGAACTACGTGATTTAACAGAGAAGTTGTCTGTATTACAATTGACGGTCGACGAATACACCTTGAAGCTGCGAGATTGCGCCGCTAAATTGGAGACGCAACAGCAACAAATTGCATATTTGAAGGAGGATCTGACAGAGCGCAATTCAATAATAGGTACTACTCAAACTGATATGAATTTGATGAACGAAAAACTGCGGGAAAAACAACAGGAATTGATAGAATACGAGGAAGAGAAGACGAAACTGGCGGCAGAAGTGGAAAAATGCTTAACGGATATTCAATGTCTGCAGAGTCGACTAAATGCCACGGAAGCAACTACAATTGATTTACAAGAATGCAATTTACATATTCGTAGCTTGGAACAAGAAGTTCAAGTTCTAAAATCGGAGAAAGAAACGATCTTATTGCAATACGATCGGGAGACGGAAATGTATCAGACTCAATTAGAAAGTAACAAAGAGCAAATTAATGCTTTGAAACATGATTTGCGAGAGAAAACCGAGCAGTTGCATTACACGAGCACACAATTGTGCGCCAAAGAGAACGATCTGGAAGGAATTAGGACCATGATAAGTGACAAGGATTCTTTATTGGAGCTCACGAATCAAGAACTAAATGACAAACGAGCCGAACTAGAGAGATTGCGTAACGAGCAGAGCGCCCAGATGATCGATAGTCTTCCGGTGTCCAGAATAGGTCACGACGATGACGCGGAGTTGCAAAGCAGCACTATAAATGAACTGAGAGCGCAAATGGAAGCTAAACAGCAAGAACTGGAACATCTAAAGTATGTTTTGAGCGAGAATACATATCCCACAATTATCCAGCAGATGCAAGATAGAATCAATTGTCTGTATAATGAGAAGGCTACACTAGAAACTTCTTTGCGAGCAGCTACGGAGAGCTTGACGGAAAAGCAACAGCAAGTAAATCTCTTGACGCAGCGCATCAACGGGCAAAATCAGGAGCGCATTTCTAAGGAGGAAGTCAGTTTGCTCTCCAGAGACAGACGAAGATCTGTGCACGATCAGGAGGAAATCGTTAGGCTGCAGAACGAATTGCACGCGAGACAACAAGAGATAAACGAATTGAGGTACGTCATAGCTGAGAAAGATTCACAATTGTCCCTCCAGGCCAGTATGGAGCCACAATCGGACGATTTCGAACTGCGTGAGACCGTGCAGAGATTAATGGGAGATTTGTATGGCAAAGAGCAAGAAATACAGATGTTGAAGTCGACTATCGCTGAGCTACAAGAGCAGATTCTGCATTATAAAGATTACGAGAGACTTTCTGAGGACAGCAGAAACGCGATCGAGAGGCTAACTTCGGAGAAAGAGCAAATTCGTATCGACGCTGAAGAATTTCTGTATAGGGAATTGCAGACGAAAGAATCGGAGATCGATGAAATAAAGCAGAGACTATCGGAGGAGAACCAGAAGTTACTGACGGAGCTTCGGTTGAAGGACAGCGATATCGAGAATTTGAAAGCGCAATTCGAACAATTGCAGGCAACTGCGAATGATCGAGACAGTAAATTACAACAAAAAGAGACCGAGTTGATGCATACAATCGACGATCTGGCGGAGAAGGAAAGAAGATTGGCTGAATTGAGCATCACCAAAGACACCGAACTTCATAACTTGAAGGTGCAAATTCATGAAAAGGAAGCGCGTATAGATGAATTACTGGTATTATCCGCGGAAGAAGAGAAACAATTGGATGAGTTAAGACAGACATTGATGACCAGCGAGACGGAAGTGAACAGGCTGAAGGAATTGTTGGTGCAGAAGGTTTCGAAACATGATTTGATACAGCACGCTTTAAAGAAAGACATGCCCGTCAATGAAGCTGCGCCGTCGAAGAGTTCGGAAATCGTTCAATCAGTCGACAATAAGGAGACTTCCACTTCCAATGAATTAGATCTTGCATTGTATATGCTTCATCAAAGAGACGTCCGATGCGAGGAGCTGACTCATGAACTGATGCAGTTGCTCGAGGAGCGCGATACGTTACAGTTGCGATTGTCTAACGCGATTCGGGTGAACGAAGAACTCAGGAGAGTGGGCAGCGCCGAAGCAAGCCCAATAAAAGACTCGTCATCGGCTTCTCATTCGATAATAGAACCTGTCGTGGAACAATCTTCGCCTTCAAAGTCCGAGGGACCAGTCGAGATCGCGAAAGAAGCTATCGACGTTCCAATCGAAGACAAGGAAGCTCTTGCTCTGAAGTAAGTAGAACTTGTTTTTACAATTATGAAATTGTAGATTCATTTTTATATTGACATGTAGTGTCTATACATAGTTTATTAATTTACGAACAAATTTGGATATTTTTAGTTTAGTGCATAATCCCTGAATTCGATTTGTCCAATATAAAAAAAAAACATTTAATGTTGTAGATTGAAAATTCTATGGTTCTTGAATGTGTGACGTAAATAATTTTTATATATAGTGTATTTGAAGAAAAAAAATTAAACAAAATTTGCGTAGATAGATTTTTTCATGATCGAAAGTCGAAGCTTTTCGTCAAAGTAAGTTTCGTTAATCGCTGTTAATGTGTGTAACTAGTAAGTCGTTGGCGTGAATGATGAGCTCTAATTAAGATTGCGTAGTCTATAGTCGGAAATTTTATTTGATCGGCCAATAAAAATTAAAGCGTTTCTAGCTTGCCCATTTGATATCCTGCAAAGTAAAATATTGAAGAACAAAAAATATTTTTGTTCTTCAACATAACGTCCCAAATGCCTCGCTCTTTACGTAAATCGCTTGCAGCTTGATATAAGCTAGTTCTTCCTTTAGATTGTCGCAGTTACATTCAGTCAGCCATGCAAAGGATGTACGATTGAAGGATGAACGAGAGTTAAGGCATACACAGCAAATGTCGTTATTAGCACACAGAGACGTTTTAAACACATTACCGCCCGAAGCAGCCGCAAGATTCGTCAACGCTAATTACACGCTTTGTAGGTACCATTTGATTAATAGTAGAATAATCTATAAACATATCATTGAACACATACAAAATTGTACACTAATAATATGAATCAATGTTTATACAGCTCGAGATGTTCAGAGCCAATCGAGTGTTCTCTTGAATTGGTTGTGGGGCAAGAGGTAAATTATAAAAAAATACATTTTATATTTTACAATCTATTTATTGTAATAGTTGTCATTTTATTTTATAGAATGCGTTTTTCGATTTTATAAACTCGAAATTTGTGGTGTTACATTTTCTCATTTCACAAAATTTAAATTTTATACTGTTCGTGTGTATTTATAGTTTTATAACTTTAACACTACAAATTGTTAAAATCATTTAAATACTTACTTTTTTGTTTGATTATTGGTGTTTCTGTTTTTTATTTCATCGATCGTATTCATTGTTTTGCAAATTCTTTGTTTTCTAAATTCTTAACCCTTTTGTTACTACGACTACTATAATCGCCTGTTACAAAGCGACTTCCGTGTATTATGACTATTATGGGTATCTATAATCGCTTAACGCGTAGCGCTCACATTTATAATTAGTACAATATAATATACACATTTGACTAGCATTACAGTATTTAAGAAGACTTATTTCACGCTTGATATTCTTTATCATGAAAAATATTTTTTATTATAATATATTTTATTTAAATTAAACAGTCATATATTATTTAGGCGTAATCGCTTGAAGTACGTACAACTCATACAACCGTATCTTATAATGTTTTGTGGCAGAGACGATCAACTAACGAAAGGGTTAAATCTTATACAGGGTGTCCCATTTTAAAGTCCCACCCCAAATAACTTTTTTATTTTTGATCTTAGAAAAAAATGTTTTAGACAAAAGTTGTATGGCTTTGA